GGAGCAAAAGACCTCCTCCCCCAGCACAGCCAAGTGCAGGCCATCTCAGACACCTGCACTCAGGCCCGTGGTCCTGATCATCCTCTATGAGGACCTGCTGGGTAAAGCCACGAGGAACCCCAGAACGGGCTCCCACAGAAGTCAAAGTAGAACTTGCTAGAGTTGGTTCTTCCCCCACGCAAGTTCCGGGGGTCATACATGGGTCATCAGGCTTGGAGGAAAACATCTTTACCGGATAAGGCTTCTTGTTGGCTCGAATCTTGTTCTGAAATCAATTTTCTCATTCTGTAGCCCAGGCTGGCCTGACAGCAGTCCTCTGGCCTTAGCCTCCAAGTGCTGGGATTATAGGTGTGTGCCACCACACCAGAATCTTGTCTTTGTGGTATTTCTTGGTGTCATATAATTTTAATGTACTGCCTTACTTTAATAAGATATATATGAAATTAAAAATTCAGATATACCTAGGCAGGTGTGATGTGTATGGCTTTAATCCCAGCACTTGGTAGGTAGAGGCAGGTGAATCTCTGAGTTACATGCCAGCCTCAAGTTCTAAGCCAGCCAGGGCTACACAGTGAGACCCTGTCTCAAATAAAATAAAACAAATTCAGACACACATAAGTAAAATGGCATTTAAAATACAATGAAAAGAACTGTGAAAATATAAAACTAAGGTAAGATAAAATCAACTCAGGGAAATCCAGTTAAAAGCCAAATAAAGCTGTATTTTTATACTGTACAAAAGGAAATTTACATTCTCACTGTAGCTAGATACATCAAGGGAGAAATGACACACCCCTCAAGAGACACAATATTTAACATCTGAGATGTCAGGTTTCTGCATTGCAGACTGATACTGAATTTTATACATCTTTATTTACAATAACTTAAAATATTTTTTCATCTCTGGCAGATATTTACAAGTTCAACAGTGATTACATTTCACATTTCAACAATCAACAGCATTAATCCATTCAATGGGACAAGATAATGGCTCACATGCACCAATACATATGATCTTAATTAAATGTGCGCTTATTTTTTTCTTCAGCTCTGGAAAAATTTCCCGCTAGTCCTAAGTTAAGAGGACATTTGTCAATAAAGACCATACTTTCTACATGCCTGCCCGGAATTTCACCAGCAGAATCCCCCACCCCCCAATACTTGGGAGTTTACACCGAGCTATAAATTGGTGTTGGTTAAAAACAACAACAAGCTGCCCTAACATATCCTACTATTAAACAAACAAAGAAAGTGGGATATTCTGTTTGCCTGTTACAGAAGTCACATTACATAAAACCAAGGCAGTAAAATCCTTGCACTGATAAAACAGTTTCTTTTCACCAATTTTAAATAGAATTTAATAAAGCCTGCTTCATTTCCTCATTTTTAGAAGAACCAAAAAGATCCAATGTAAAACACAGGATAGACTTCAAATATTTTTAACATCACATGGAGAATATTTTGCATTCTATTTAGACAATATAATTTTTAAAAAATCCAAACTATTATCAGTCATTATTTGAAAGCCAATCTTCTCCTCCAAAAGCAATACACTCTTGTTAATTTTTTGAGATAGGGTATCATTATGTAGCTCTGGCTATTCTGGGGGAAACTTTTTTTTTTTTTTTTTTTTTTCCAAGACAGGGTTTCTCTCTGTAACTTGGGAGCCTGTCCTGGAACTCACTTTGTAGACCAGGTTGGCCTCGAACTCACAGAGATCTGCCTGTCTCTGCCTCCTGAGTACTGGGATTAAAGTCGTGCGCCACCATGCCCTGGCTAGCTCTGGCTATTCTGGAACTCATTATGTAGACCAGGCTGGCCTTGAACTCACAGAGATCTGCCTGCCTCTGCCTCTCCAGTGCTGGGATTAAAGGCATGTGCCACCATGCTCAGTCCAACATTTATTAACTATAATGTAGTATTAAAAAAATAAAAGAACATGTTTAGAATAGCAGTTTGATTTAAGAAGTCATTAAACACATTGAACCCTTTAGATCATTTTGGCCTACATATTTTAGAAGGGGCTATTGTAGCTTCCTTTAGCCCAATCATGTTTTTAAAGCAAAGACAAAAAGCAGTAAGAGTGGACATGTACATAAATCAATGTTAACTAACCAGACTGTAAGTTTAGCTAATATTATACTAGAAATAAATGCCACTGCCCGTTAAGGATTACCATTCAATAATTTTCCTTATAATTTTATCTAAACAACCCATAATATATAATATACCAATTTAAGGAGTTTCCTCTTTTATATTCAACACTGATAAGCCAGATCCTTAATTATAATAACAACTTGTCATAAGGAATAAAATTAAGACTTATTCTCTAATTGGTATTATTGGGACACTGACATCTTATTGATGTGAGAACAAAATAGAATCTTGTCTATCTATTTACTGTATTTGTGTTGTTATTTGTTTCCCTTGGGGTTAGAAAGCATTAAAGGGGCTACATTCCTTCACAGATGCTTTTAAAAATGATTTTGGTCAGTAACATTTTCTTTGGTAAATTTTGTGACTGATGAAGATGTAAAAACATCTCCTGATATGACTAATACTTAACTGTTACACTCGACCACAGCAAGCCACATAGCAATTCTGTCGATGGGGATAGATCATCCAATTAGGTTCATTTCTCTTTGTAAATAAAAAGATCTATTAGCCCTACCTCCAGATACACAATTTTTAAAAAAGACTCATTTATACCTTAAGATATACTTAATTCTACTTTTTTGGTAAAACCATATTAAATGTAGTAGTATAATATCAGACACATGAATATGCCTTAGTCTGTAAACATTATGAACCCATTTTCTCAAAGTCCATAAGCAAAACATAGACACTCTTATTTCTGTACTACGCTGCCCGTTATTTCCCGTCACCCTGGATTTCTGTGAAACTCTAGCCTGAATATTTGGTCCTGTATATATTTCTCATAGGATGAATGTCTAATATTACAAAAATACTGGAGGAAAAAAAAAAGAGCAAAATCTTGTGGTTATGTGGTCGGGATTAGACAAAATGCACCTACATGTACAAGGAGGCAGGCTGTGCCTCCCACAGGAATAGCGGTTCCTATGTAGTTCAGTACCGGGGTGATCTATCCATTAGGTTCACACAGCATAAACAATACTAAATTTGTCTCACCACATTAGCATGGAAAATTGTCCCAACCTGATGACTCATGATTTTATTAATATTATTTCACACCGTATTTCATGTTTCTATAACCTGGCAAACACTCTATTTTTTAAGAGGTTAAGCTGTCAATAGCTAGTTTTCACATCCCTTATTTTTGAAAACAACTTTAAGAAAAAAATGAAAAGGATTACAGTAATCGTCTCACCCAACCTGGTGGGCAAACAATGCCAGCAGTCATTTGGCTCGACAGAGAAAAGCCTCCTGCTCCAACTGCATCAGACAACCATGACAAAGCATTCTTTTTACATTGCAAAACTAGATATAATTGAAACATTAAGCTTTTTTGGTTAAAAAAAAAAACCCTTTATAATGTAATCCAAGTTCAGAAATGGAGTGCTCCTCCTTACCAGTGTTTTACAGGATGCTGCCCTACCCATAAAGACAGGAACTAGTATTTGTATTTATGAATGAACATGCAGTGAATTAAACGAGACAGCCGATTGTCAACAACTGGAGTACTCAAAAACGGACCCAAAGAAACCTCATAAAGTGAGGTAGGAAAAACACATCACTGCATTAAAGTACTCACAAAAACAGTGAAACAAAAGCAATCTAAAGAAGTTCTTCTCAGTATCCTGGTGTCTGATAAGTAATTCTAACAATTGAGACAACAGGAATTTAGACTTCAGGTTGGAGACTCTGAGCTTACATAGCTGAGACTATGAAACTTGGAGTCGTTTTCACACGGTATTTGTGTTATAAATGACAGAGGGAATTATAAATCATAAGCTTCATACTCACTAGAAACCCTTTCCAATCATATATAAAATATTGCTTTTATCTGCTCTAAGCACAGTGAGAAACAGTCTCTCTCTGGCTTACTAATGAATGGAATTGAATTTAGGTTATCTTTACTTTGCAATCCTCCATATTGTACCTTTGGTGACTGAAAACTGGCTGATTCAAAAATCACTTTCAAATAGTTAGAACACTGATTAAAGTCATTTCATTGGGTTTATTTTACCTTTAAACAAACCCCCACAAATACAAATAACATGGCAGCATATAACTGTTATGTGGCAGAGAATTCATAAGGCATAAATTAGAAAAGAGTAATGTGCTACACAGATACCTACATTTGAACACATCCCCATCTGTATTTAGTATTGTGCATTTTTTTCTGGAATTAATACTTTTCTTAATGTGTTCACCAACTACTAGACCAGAAACATAAAGAAACTGCAGAAATGGAAAAGTGTTATATACTATCTACCACAGTGTGGGTAATAGGAAGCAGTGGGGTGTGGACATGCATTTGACTAGGGACAAGGCTCGATTATGGCTCTGCTTTATTAGTTATGGACTTTATTTCACAACCTCTTTGAGCCTCAGTTTCCTGAGGATGGATGGATGTGTACGAGAGAGAGAGTTAGCTAAATTATCTCTGGGGTTTCTCCTCACACAAAAATTCTGATCTGCAATACACAGGCATGGAACAGTAAAGGAGTAAGACTTTAAATATCACCTGTTAACCTCCCTGGCTTCTTACTATATTTTCATATTTAAAAACCTTACTTCTAAGTCAACTTTTTACTTTACATTTTAGTTTTCATATTAATAACATTAATTTAAAGTCACACAGGAGCACTCCTAAACCTTCAGATGCTGTCTGTATTCCTTAATTTGACCTAGCACAGATGGCACCAATCATTTTTTCCCTAAATGTCTCTTTCTGCTGGTGGGATGAAGCTTTCTGAAAGCTGAGGAGTATTAAAGGGGAGTTGTTAAAGGACAAAGAATGGACATTTCTGGCTTACATTTCTTTTTTTTTTTTTTAATTAATTTATTTATTATGTATACAGTGCACATATCCCTGCAGACCAGAAGAGGGCACCAGATCTCATTACAGATGGTTGTGAGCCACCATGTGGGTGCTGGGAATTGAACTCAGGACCTTTGGAAGAGCAAGCAGTGCTCTTAACCACTGAGCCATCTCTCCAGCCCCTGGCTTACATTTCTAACAGGTGCTGTATAACTGAACGAGAGCCATTTTAAAGGAGGTGTTGCTAACACACAGTGGTTAGAATGATGCTTAGAAAACTGGACAGTTGGTGTGACTCATTTCATCTGAACCATTGTGTTATGAAGGAATTTTTTCCTAAGACCATGGCTGTAGAGAATAAACGAAGGATTTCCTTATTGAGACCGAATCACAGCCCAAAGAATAGGATTCAAATGTTACAGGGTCGTGAAATATTAATCAGGATGTATATACAAAATCTATACATACCAATAAAGGAAAGCCTCTTGAGATGAAAAGAACTTTTTTTTCTTCTTCTGGTTTTTCAAAACAGGGTTTCTCTGTGTAGCCTTGGCTGTCCTAGAACGTGCTCTGTAGACCAGGCTGGCCTCGAACTCAGAGATCCATTTGCCTCTGCCTCCCGAGTGCTGGGATTAAAGGTGTGTGTCACTATACCTGGCTCTGGATAATATCTTAAAACCAACTTTACAGTTATAACATTTCCAATTAAAGGACATTTTTCTTGTATCTACTATAGTTTATGGTATAACTTCAAATTACTTGGTATTCTTTTGTGCTTTAACGAAAATGCTTGACGTAGATGCCAATATATGTGCACCTGAGCCCATTAGCCTTTCACTAAAGCAGGTATGTTTTGCTACACAATCACTGATTCCTTCCTTTACACACTAGAAACCCGTCGTTTAGTATGTTAGAAAATCATTTTATTTCACTAGTTTTCACTGTTTTACAATGTTTTATAGTTTACTTTATGTCACTTAGTTAAATTAGTAGAAATAGGTCTAAAATGTGTCTGTGATAATTGCATATATGCATATTATAAAAATCAATAAATCATGTATCAGCTTTTAGCTTTACTCCAAATTTTGGCAATGATGTGGCTAATAGCTGAGGTTCTAGTTTTCCATTTGCTGGGAGCTGAAAATTTATAGACCACCAACTCCAATCAAGGATGAGTCTAACACAAGGCCCCCTAAACAAACAGACACACAGACAAACAACTCTTCCAAAAGTGGTGGTGGTTTATGTGTGAAAAAAAATGAGAGGCATTTTCCTGGTTAATTTATCAAATTCTACTGGAAATAGAGAGAACAGAACTTTGTCATTAAGAGAACACTTGCTTTCAATAAAGGCAGTATATTTTCCTTTCACAATAATACATAAATGTCTACATGTACAAGGGCAGGTGTAAGTGATGTCTTCAGATGGAGAGCGGGCCAAGTCACAACACTGATTTTCACAATCCCAACACATTCCCTTCTTTTTTAAACAAGGTCTGAGACCCAGAAGAAATATAAGAAAGTCTTATCCAACCAAATCATAACCCAAAAATTTAAACCAATAGTCTATTTTTGTAGTCTCTTAGCAGTTACCAAATGCTACTTACATACATTCAACATCTAGCTTACTGGCATGATTTCAAAGTTTTATAAAAACGAGAAACTTTGCAGATAATCAGAAGATTCACAAATTGCATTAAACACAAAGGCAGTGTGGTCCTTGTGGAGAAATCAAGTCAGTACCCTCTGGTAGAAATGTTCTATAAAAATGTGTCACATTGAAGCATCAGTGTTTTCAACCAATTATCTGTCCCTGATGTATTTCCTCGGAGTATATGATCTCAGGACTTTAGGTATCTTTATCCAATATCTGACTGAATTTAGGTACATCTAGGAAGCAGCTGAAAGGGTTTCTCCAATAGTCTGACATCACGGAAAGTGGACTGAGAAATCCCTCTCTTTACCTGAAGACGTACAGCTTCTACTTCAGTCATTATCAACTCACAAAGGAAAAAAGAAAACAATAGAACGTCACCTCACACACAATCTCACACAAACTAACCGAAGAGCACCCTCCCCCCACACCCCCAGCACCAAAGTGTCAGTCATTCCTAGGAAACAGAACACGCCCCTTGGGGTCTCTGATTTGCTAGTTCAAACTTGAAGGGCAGAAATGTCCTCAAGTCCTTGTGGGAAGAGGGAAGACATGTTGTTAATGACTAGAGAGCCATTGAGAAAGTGCATTATCAATTACACAATCAACTTAGAGCCCCGGCCTCCAATGGAGGTGGTCACAAGTTAATTTAAATGCCTCAATAATTAAACATCTATGTCCTTGGGATAAAGGAAAGGGGGTGCAGCTAGCCTCACTTTAATGAAAAATTGCAGTAGTCTACCACCTTCCCCCATGCTTTTCAAGAATATAAAATTGCACAGACTCAGAGAAGTCCAAAGTCATAGCAGAATCTCTGAGGCACTCCTGGTTAAGAGAGAAAAAAATATGATCCAGTTATCTTCATAGTTCCATAGATTATGTGAACAGACCCGTTTTGTTTTCCAACAAAAGCCAAAGACTCACTTCATAGGGATCATATACACCATTTCCTCTAACATATCCTCAGTCTCACAGTGTTGAAATGGGACCGATCAGCCTACGATGGATTGCACATTACCCAAGGAGAAAGGAAGGCGTGGAGAAGGCAAACATTTTACACTGCTTCACAAACACGTTTACAAGGAATAGGTGGAGAGAGGTTCGAGGAAAAAGAAAACCTTATTGCTGTTTCCATACAAAATACAGTAGGGAGATACCTAAGCTAAACCAGATCTGATTACAGTGACATCTTTTCACAACGTGGGATGAAGTGTCTTGCACAATGAAATGTTCAGTCTAAAAGGTAAGGAGAACGAGGGGACATCAAAACTACACCTGGGATATTAGCTGCATATTGAAACTCGGGGATCGGGACTGCTTGGTTAGGGGGGCTCCTGGGCTGAGGAGCTCTTTCCCTTCACCAGCATGACCTAGCCGGTCTTCTTGTAGACTGATCGTTGAATATCGATTAGCATTTGCAGCTGCTAGATTAGTGACTCCCTCCGTGCCAACCCCGATGCTGGTACTTGCTTGGCTGCCATTCACATAGTCAAATGACTTGCTGGAGGAAGCACTGGCTGTCCGGATGAGACTTAAACTATTGGTTTTTGGCACCACCTGGCCAGCAGGCAGGCTCAGGTGTTTCTTCATGGGCGTCAGCTCCACTGAATCTAGGCTAAGATCGGCTGGTTGTCCAAACTGCTTGCGCACTACCGAATCTCGCGGGCTCTCGCTGGCTTTGATGGCAGAAGCTGTCTCTTTATCTTTGGCGGACCGCCCAGTCGCTGCTTTCCGTAGACTTCCCCTCTGAGAAGAGGACGGCTTGGTCCCAGGTGGCTGGCTGCTGAGAGAAGCCCCTGACGAAAATCCTTCGTCTGCATCGTTCATGTTTAAAGACTCTTCTCCATTTAGACCCTCGGCACCTAAAAAGGAAATCAGACAGACTCAGCAACAGCTAAATTAAGTAAAAAGCAGCTGTGAATGACACTGACCTAATCTCATGAATGTTTGTTACAGGTTTGTAATGGCCTTAGCACGTTCATTTCGGGGACTAAACCTCTACACAGGGGTTTAACACACTACTCAGTGTTTCCATCTGGCTTCAGCTGTCCTGATTTTGTAAAACTATCCACAAACATCAACCAGTAAACTATCAACACCTAGACATAGAAAACTAAACTCTAACCCTTTAAAAACACACTGCCAACCATTTGAAGTCACTGTACCTACATGTCTGAAAACAAAACTCTTTCTTCATTTTTCCTTAACCCATCATATAACACGTGCTGTACAAAAGGAATTCTCTTCTAATTTCAGTTACCCAGAATTGTACCAAGTCATTTAGGCCTATAGGCCAAACTCTTTAAATTAAAATAAAAATGTATTCTCTATTTGGCAGCTAACTGCATTTATATAGCTTCTTAATATATTTCTTTTTATTATCTACTAAATTTGCCAACTCAACTAAAAAAATTACATTGCTGTAGTAACTTCACACTCACATGTTGTCTTATGGACACACCCTGCAAATGGATTTCCATATTTCCTTGGCCAATCAGTAAAGAGTACACTGATTGTGAGCTGGCAAAGGGAACTCGCAGGGACATTTCTACTGTCTGTCTTATGTATTCCTTAGCAGTTTACATTCTTTTTCCTTCTTTCGTTTTTTTTCAAGGCAGGGTTTCACTGTTTAACGGCCTTGGCTGTCCTGGAACCCACTCTGTAGCCCAGGCTGGCCTCGAACTCACAGATATCCACCTGCCTCTGCCTCCCGAGTGCTGGGACTAAAGGTGTGCGCCACCACCGCCCGGCACAGTTTACATTCTCGACAGGAGAGTGAGCGCTGTCAGGTTCACAGAGCACTGCAATGCTGCATCACATCTCCCAAGTCACTGCACTTAGGGAAAGAATTCATCTTCATCTCGACTTTTGGGACAGGAGAGTCATATAGAACATAATGAGGTTGTAGTTTCCAGATAGCCCAATTCTTTTACTGAAAAGTGTGATCAAACAGTCTCAAAATTAATGTTTTCTTCTTTCAAAAACTGAACATATATTTCCCAGACTGAAAGAAAGTATGAATCTGTAAAACTGATATTAACATGATAGTTAAGGCAAAATGTTAGGGAACAATCTAAACACTAATTTCAGATACAGGTTACCTAAGCAAAATGTACATATTCAAACATAATCTTTTACTTAACATAGTACCTGGAAAAATAAAAATATTTTTAGCTGCATTTCTTCAGATGGATTAGTTATTTTACTTCTAAAAAAGAATCAAATTAGGCGATCCTTAAAGCAAAAGGCAACTTGTTACACATATGTATATAAGTATAAATATAAATATCTACAGCAATTTGATGTTTAATCACCATGCAAAGCCATGTGGAAAAACATTTACTAAAAAAAGCAACTGACACTACTTCTCTCAATCCCTTCAAAAGAACTGGGAGTCATATACCTCAAAAATGAAATATTTAGATCCGATTCACATTACCTTTCTTAATAATTGACTTACAAGTAGTATAAATTCCATATATTCAAAACTACGAATATAAAACTGGATTGGTTTATCTAACAGTTCGGACAGGAGACTGAGAGACTTAGTGTTGGCTCTGAGTCTTGCTCATGCAGATCTGATGCCCAAGCAGTATGCTAGAAGAGGGGTGATAACATAAAAAGCCACCATGCAAGAGAATCTACTGCTAATTTATACACTAGACATGTTATTTCAATTTGATGGAACATTGATTATCCATAAATCACAGGCACTATCTTAAAACCTTTTATTGAAACATTCAATAAATTAATTTAAAAATGTCTTAGCATTACTCTGTGTGTGTGGCGGTCAGAGGACAATTCTGTGGAACTGGTTTTCTCCCTTCACCTTCACATGGGCTCTACAGATTACACTCAGATTCCCAGGCTTGCAGGGCAAGCACCTTTAATTGTGCCTGTCCTAATAAACACATTTTTATTATAAAAACATCGTGTCTACAAACATGTTTTTTTTTTTTTTTTTTTTTTTGGTTTTTCAAGACAGGGTTTCTCTGTGTAGCTTTGCGCCTTTCCTGGGACTCACTTGGTAGCCCAGGCTGGCCTCGAACTCACAGAGATCCGCCTGCCTCTGCCTCCCGAGTGCTGGGATTAAAGGCGTGCGCCACCACGGCCCGGCCTACAAACATGTTTTATTTTAAAGGATGTTATATATGTAATACAAAGGCTTCAGCATTCTAGGGAATTACTAAAATTCTCCTAAATTTTAATCAATTTCCTTTTCTCTCTGTCTTAAAAACCCTCAAAGGAAGTCAGGTATGGTGGTGCACACCTTTAATCCCAGCACTCAGGAGGTGGTGGCAGATGGATCTCTGAGAAGGCCAGCCTAATCTGCAGAGTGAGTGCCAGGACAGCCAGAGCTACACAGAGAAACCCTGTCTCCAAAAACCAAAACCATCACCAACAGAAAACTCCCAGGCGATAAAAAAATGCAATTGAGTCTCAAAACATCTTTCCCTGTGTAGATTTTCTGTAGGTGACAACATCCACGGCTCCAAGAAGACCCTACTGAAAAGGGTTTCACTGACCTTTTTGTTCATGGCGCGTTTCTCATACATTCTGCATCTACGAAGACTTATTTAAAACCACAATTAATCTAGGTTAGGAGATAAAATTATCTCTCTCCTTTTCGGAGACAAGGTCTCTCTGTGTGGTGTGGGCTGGTCTTGAGCTCACAAGGACTGACTGTTTCTGGAGTGGCAGGATCAAAGGTGTGCACCACCAAACCAACCAGCTTCAAACACGTTAGAGAAATGTATTCACTTTCCTCGGGCCGTTCATCCCTGCAAACTACCCCAAACTAAAAGATTAACACTAGCAGGGGACTTAGTAGAGTTAAAAAGATATTAAAAAGGAATTACTGGGGTTGGAGATTTAGCTCAGTGGTAGAGCGCTTGCCTAGCAAGCACAAGGCCTTGGGTTCGGTCCTCAGCTCCAGAAAAAAAAAAAAGGGGGAATTACTATTTTGGTTCCTTTTTCAAAGTATACCCCTGATGAATTAGAAGTAATACTTCAGCCTAGTGTCAGACTTGCAAGAATTTCATCAACTGCTAATATGACATTATTTTTAGCACAAGTACTCTCAACATCCTAACAAAAGTTATACACAAATAGAAAATGGTTTATTTAGTCATCAACAATGAGAAATAGATTGCTGTTTAGTTTGGATCCACTTTAGGTTCCAAATCCACTTGTTTTCTCAAAAAAAAAAAAAAATTTTTTTTTTTTTTTTTTTTTTTGGCATTTAGAGAAGATATACCTAATTGCTGGGGTAAGATAAAAAAGGAGGGCCACACCTTCCACAGCCATGTCAAGAGGGATCTCTAAAACAGGACCAACTTTGGGGTCATTAGGTCATGCACATGCAATACTGTTAAATGAAGTAAAGACAATTTAGGCAAATGGGTTAGGAACTGAGGGTACATTTAGATTCTTACTGAGCATGCTCAAATTTCTAATACACGGAAAAGATACTTCCTTAGGGTAGAAGGTAAATATTTTATGTGTGTTAGGTAAATAGCTGATCTCTTTAAAGACTACTTATCAGTTTTTTAGTAAAAGGTTTTATGATAATGAAACCATTGGCTCCAGTTCTCTCTTCCATGAAGCTAACTCATATGCCATTTCATACACAGCAGCGGGCAAATATTTTCCTGTCAGAGAGAAGTATTCTTTTACACGTAGTGCTGGGGCACAGGGTTCTTATTTGCAAATACCTACATTGTAGAAACAAGGATCTTCTCTGTATATGACCTGCAAACAAGACATTTCACTTCCATCTGGGAGCTGTGGCCACTATTTATAAAAAAACTTTGAAGTGTAGAATGCTTCGGGATAGCACATTTATGGAGAAAAGATGTCAGTAATTAGTTAGGCAACTTAATCCAGGTGTTGAGAAGCCAGTTAATACCAGCATTCTGTCAGAGACGGGAAATGCTTGTTAAGAGGACGCCCTGGGAAACAGGGAAATGCCAGGTCCACTTCAGTTTCTTAAGTGGACTTGTCTTTTAAAATTCTCTTCACAGACTTCTACAGAATCAATCGTCATGTGCACACATCAATACGGACGAATGAGGCTCATGATCATCGGGTGCCTTTTTCCCCTAGTGTTAGAACAAACATGCTCAGTAATGACAAATCCCAAGCATCTGCGGATCTTTTCACCCAGGTCCCTGCCTTGTTAGTAGCCATGCCAAGCTGCCGTTTGGGGACACAGGGATGCAGACTCCAGGCCAGCACAAAGGGAACTCAAGATTGTACCTAACCTGGTGCTAGGCATATGGGGAGGAGGGTGCTTTGCAAGGAGGAGCTAGCAGACCCAGGGGTGCTGGAGACACACACTAGAACGGAAAGGTGTTCTGCTCGGGGACAGAGAGCCAGGGTCCTTCTCCAGCAACTGCCTCACTGACTTCTGCCTCCTCATCTCTGTCCTACCCTCTGTTGTGGCTGCTGCCGAGGTGGGCTCCGGCGAGCCATGCTCAGGGGTCCTGCGCACCTCCCCCTCTTGGACACGTTTGATCCCTAGGTCAGTGGAGCCGTGTTGGATCGGGGAGCCAGGAATACTCGAGTCAGCCTCGTTTGAGAAGTCAAAGCCATCTGGGATTCAACATATAAAATTTTAGTACTTCTGTGCTGCTCTGCTCCTGTCTGAGCATTCTGGCCCAGGCAGATAAGAGAATGTATATATGGATATGATATTAACACAAACACTATCTCTATAGTTACATGTGTGTGCACAGCTTGCACACACATAAGGCAGCAGATGAACAATGTGAGGTTTGCAAATGAATAGGACGGAAAAATAGGGATCATTAAAAATGACAATGTCTCTTAAGCAAGACAGCTTGACTATTAAGTAATGCATCTATAAAATATTGCTGGGTTCAGTTCTTAGAAAAAAAAAGGAAAAGCAGATATAAAAATGCAAAAATTAGAAGCAATTCTTTTATGGCTAGCTTGTATTACACTGTTAGTTTGACAGGTCATATAGTTTTCTCCCACAGTGCTCATTCATGTACCTCTGTTCCAGTTAATAGGCTTAAAACAACATTTTCCCCTATTTTTATTACTAGTTCAAAAAACAAAACAAAAAACAAAATTTAACTAGGTCTTATTTTATGTTTTAACATTATCAGAACAGTCTAACAAATCCCTACTTTATAAACACATATTTTTACATCAAAATAACTAAGCATTATCACACTTCTAGTACCATCTTTAAGGTGACAATATTTTACTTGAATACAGAGAACATTAATTACTATCGAGCATTAGTACTTTCTGTACAGTGATAAGTTACTTGAGTCCGTGAGTAAACATGGGATTCTGTACTGACCTTCTCGTCTCCATCTGTGACGACGGATTGAAGCTGTTGTAATTGCAGTCCGAGAGATCCTCGGCACTGTTGGAGTGACTTCCACTTTAAGCACTTTCTGGCCTTCTTGTGAAGAATCAGGTGCATCAAATGGTAACGAGTTTTTCATGGCATTGGCAACCTAAAGTGATAATGTAAGTCTTACAAATTTACAACCAGCATAGAATTTTTACCGCTTCTATAATGCATGTTTCCATATTTTTGAACATGTACACTTTGTAACATATAAAGTTATATAATATAAAAGCACGAATGTGTCAGAAGTATTTATTTTCCATATTATATATTCTTTTCGGCAGGCTTTTCAAATGAAAATTTATTATTAAAATGTGAGCCATATACCACACTGGATTCTCTTTTTTCTTTTTAATTTTTAAATTTTTATTTTATGTGCATTGGTATTTTTGCTATGGGTGTCGGGTTCCCTGGAACGGGAGTTCCAGACAGTTGTGAGCTGTCATGTGGGTACTAGGAATTGAACCCAGGTCCTCTGGAAGAGCAGTCAGTGCTCTTAACCGCTGAGCTATCTCTCCAGCCCACCACACTAGATTCTTGAAGTTGTTGAGTTTGAAAAGAAAAGAACATTCCAAAGAAAAGTGTTTAATATTCGTACCAAGATATAAAACAAGTTAGAATAAGTTCCTGCTTTTTCATATGGTAAGTAATAGAAAACTTAATCTGTGACAAAACAGTAACACTTTTCTGTACTCCTGTGTGGACAGATTTTCCCTGAATACAGGTTGGCATTGTCTCCTAGTATTTCTGCTTCAAGAAAGAGACTGGGAAACCTGGTTACTAAGCAACTGCCATCTGACTGCTGTGTCTCTTAACAGGTAAGTAGTAAGGCAGCAAAGACCTTGAGCTAGAGGACTGTCTTGCTTTCCTTCCACACATGGACAAGCACACGTGGGACCAGTACCCTGAGAAAGTAGATCTCATCTACCCACACAGACCTAGAGAAGGAAGCTGTTTTGAGGCTTGATGTATATAAAGTTAAGTCTCTAAACTAAGTCTTTATTAGCAATATAGAGGACGCTTGTTTCTCCATTTTGTTTTTACATACAGCTTTAGATATGAGAAAAATGCTACGCATCAGTGAATTTGAGCTTAAAATTAAAAATGGTATAAGTAAATAAAATAGCTTTAAAAACTATCCCAAGTAGAAAATGCATAAACATTTTAAGTATCACGAAACCACCTAGAAAGCTTAATAACTGGTAAAAAAAAAAAAAAAAAAAATCAAAGCAAGCAAGTCAGGCATGGTGGTCCTGTAATCCCAGCACTTGGAAGACCAAGACAGAATTCTACATTCAAAGCCAGACTGCCACACACAGGAAGGGAGGAAGGGAGGAAGAGAAGGGAAGAAGGAAGAAGACAGAGGCCATGGACAGTCAAATTACCTACAACTACTAGTATTTTGTTTCCTCTTTCCCGTGTAGATTTAAAATACATACATACTTTCCCATTTAACCTGTTACTATCTTTTCTTTAACATAAGTTCTCAAATATACAATTTCATCAAGGAAATACAAACTTCAATTGTTCTCTGTTATGGGAATACTTAGACTACTTTTATTTCTTTACAATTAACACTGTAGGCTAGGTGGTGGCAGCAGCAAATGCCTTTAATCCCAGCACTCAGGAGGCAGAAGCAGGTAGTTCTCTGTATTCAAGGTCAACTTGGTCTACAGAGCAAGTTCCAGAACAGTCAGGGCTGTTAGACAGAAAAACCCTGTCTCAAAAATTCAAAAACCCAAAAATAAAACAATAAAAGTAACTGTAATGTTGCGTTTCTAGTACTTTCAATTTGAATTTATATGTATGGGTGTTTTGTCAGCATACGTGTGTGTGTGTGTGTGTGTGTGTGTGTGTGTGTGTGTGTGTGTGTGACTGTACCATGGCATGAGCCTGGAGATCATAGGACAACCTGTGGGAGTCAGTTCTCTCCTCCTTCCAAGTGGATTCTGGGATTGAACTCAGGCTGTCAGGCTTGGCAACAGGTGCCTTTATCTGGAGTCATCTCACAAGTCCCTACACACTGGGAGGCATGGGATCTTTTTTTTTTTTTTCTCAAGACAGGGTTTCTCTGTGTAGCTTTGGTGCCTGTCCTGGATCTCGCTCTGTAGACCAGATGGGCCTCGAACTTCATGGAATCATTAAAACAGAGTAAGACTATAATAGGGGGTTTCTTATGCCAACAGAGAATATTCTTCTTTTGTGTATTGCATATTAATTTTATTCTTTTTTTTTTTTTCAAGATTTATTTATTATGTACATAGTATTCTGTCCGCATGTATGCCTGCAGGCCAGAAGAGGGCGCCAGATCTCATTACAGATGGTTGGGAGCCACCATGTGGTTTCTTGGAAATTGAACCCGGGTCCTCTGGAAGATCAGCCAGTGCTCTTAACCATTGAGCCATCTCTCCGGCCTCCGTTTTTTTTTTTTTTTTTTTGGTTTTTCGAGACAGGGTTTATCTGTGTAGCTTTTGCGCCTTTCCTGGAACTCACTTTGTAGCCCAGGCTGGCCTCGAACTCACAAAGATCCACCTGGCTCTGCCTCCCAAGTGCTGGGATTAGAGGCGTGCGCCACCACCGCCCGGCTTCTGTTTTTTATAACATAATTCTTTCCTGATTCTTTGGGAATTTCCCATCATGCACCTCAACTCCACTCATCTCACAGTTCCTCCATGTCCTCCCCTGACCCCTACAGCATCCCCGAAAAAAATCAATTAAAAACAAAATAAACAAACAAAAACCTTTATTCCTCTGTCTTTCCAACACCTCCTAGTGGCACTGGATGCTGCGGTGTGTCATACGGCACACACTTTTGTCCAACTGGCCCCACCCACAGAATGTTCACTGCAATGAATCACTGGTGTGTTCAAGGCCTCTGGCACACCGTCGTCACTGGACGCTCACTGAAACTCCTCTCAGATGACCTGCTCTCGTTCCTTAGGACCAGTCCTTTCATGAACTCCAGCAGGTCACAGATGCGGTAAAGGTTAGGGTGGGCCAATCTAAGGCTCAGGATATGGGTCTAGGTGGTAGATGAGCTGGTCAGTCTGGGCCACTGGGATGGTCCCACCCCGGCAAGGGGCAGAGTGAGCTCTCCCGTGCCCATGGTGAGAGGCGAGGTCATCTCTCCCACTTTCAGGGGGCAGCAGCTCTCCCGCTGCAGTGGAAAGCAAGGGACAAGGCCAGCTAGCCCAAGGCCAGTGACAGAGGGGCTGCTCAGCATGGCCCACGGATCTCAATGTCCACTGTTCCTATCGATGACCCCCTGTGGCCTCACAGGCCATGGACATCAATCATCACAGATCTTTTTTTTTTTTTTTTTTTTTGAGACAGGGTTTCTCTGTGTATAGCCCAGGCTGGCCTAGAACTCAGAGATCCACCTGCCTCTGCCTACTGAGTGCTGGAATTAAAGGCATGAGCCATCACCACCCAGCTCTATAGCTTTTTTTATATAAAGGTACTAATTTAGAATTTACATGTTTATGTGGAAAAAAATAGTCTCCTTCAGTGACTGCTTCATTTCTAAACTGCTTTAGTTTTTTATTATAATAACAAAGTGATTTCACATAAGCTTAAACAGCCTTTCTTTTTCTATACAGCTGAATAAAACTTACGAGGCTGTCCTCTCTTTAACAGAGCTCTACTACATAGAGCAGCCAGGAACTTACAGGATAGCTGAGGACCGCCTCTTCCCTGTGGCAATCAACCCCTTGGCTCCATGTACTGGGATTACCAGTGTAAACTACTATGCTCAACTTGTTTTCCCGTTTCTTTCTTTCTTTCTTTTTTGGTTTTTCAAGACAGGGTTTCTCTGTGTAGCTTTGCGCCTTTCCTGGAACTCGCTCTGTAGACCAGGCTGGCCTCAAACTCACAGAGATCCGCCTGGCTCTGCCTCCCGAGTGCTGGGATTAATGGCGTGCGCCACCATTGCCCGGCTCGATTTTCTCGTTTCTTAAAGATTTCAAAACATTTCATTTTTCAATTTATCTCAATACTTCCCCTGTCCTCTGCCCCATGGTAACATTTTGACCACATATATGCTTTAAGAAGAATCAACACACATCCAGAACTAGGACCTAAATAAACCTCTACTCTTCAGGGAAAAAAAGTATAAAAAAGTAACTTACCAAGAGTGGCTGAGAAAAGAGTTCTAGCTGAGCTCTATAGATGATGTCATCAAGTACTTCCTGGCCAAGGTCCCACTGTCCATTATACCTGGGGGTGGATTATTTAGTACTTTTAATAGAGGTCTCTGGTCTTCAGCACTTGAAAAGAAAAGTTCTACTACTTTAGCTGTAAAGCAAAACTTACACTTCCAATTTATTATTTCACTGCTGAATTATCCTTGCTTTGGTTATAACAACAAAATGAAGATTACAAGGCTCTGTTTAACATAGTTTACAGATTTTTCTTTATACAAATTGGTTTTTATCATGTGTTGATATCCAAAGTTATTTAAAGTATTCGTGATAATCATGACAGTGAACTACATAGAAACAATACAGCTTCCGTACAGAAAAACCTAATTTTATGACTAGTCATGTTATTAACTGCTATTTGAAAAGTACTGACTAGATACTATAGTAGGAAAACCAGGTAACAGGTTTATCATGGAACAAAAGATTCTATGATAAAGAAGAAATAGAAATATAAAATGTTCCCACATGCAGAAGACTTCATCTCCTTCCTACTTACATGGCATAGTAAACTCCTGTGAGAAGTTGCACCATAAATTCAGGATCTAATACTATTCGACCACAGATTTCTTTCCACTGTTTCTCATGTTGCCTCGGAAACCCACTCACACAAACCCTAGGAAAACACAGTAGTTAATGTGTGACTTCCTGACTGGCTAATCATACATTTAATGAGTCATCCATCCCTCAGCTACTGATGCCTGCTAAAAGCCAGTCATGAGCAGATAGATGTTTCGTTTTTAATTTTGTTTTTTGTTTTTCTTTTTTTTTTTTGGTTTTTC